TAATGAAGTTGTTGTTGATGATGAAGACGATGATGGCAGCATCAGATGCGCTTGATCTTTTTACTTAGCTTATAATCTCTGAGCAAATAATGTAAAACGAACCGTTTAGCATGATAATTTCCGTTAACCGACCTGCAATAGTTTTTATTTTTTATTTTTTATTTTTATTTTTATTTTTTACAAAATAATAATTGTTCTAAGCTCACTTTTTTTTTTCTAATAAATTATTAAATTATAATCTGAAATTGGATATTTCTTTCCATTAAAATTGAATTTCTGATAATTTTGGGTTATTTAAAATATATAATTTTTTTATTTTTAATAAAAATTAAAACTAATTAATTCATACTTTTAAACATTTTTAATTTTTTTTTTCTTGTTTTAAAAATTATACTTTCAACGGCTCCATCCAATATGATCCATATATTTTAAGCTTTTTCTTTCTCAATTTAATGTCTATTACAAAATCAATAAAGTATCAATTAATTGATAAAAACAAAAAAAAAATTAAATGCACCTATCAGTGTGATTCACAATTCAGTTTTTGCCAACAAATTCTTTTAGATCAAAAACCAAATTATTGGAGGAATCCAATTTAATATTTTAACTTTCATCAAGTTTTTTTTTTTTTTTAAATAAAATTTAGTCGAATTTAAAAAATTAAACTGTGTAGTTGTGTCATTTTAAAACAAATAAAATTTAGTTAAATTTTAAATTTTAAATTATATAGTTGCGTCTTACTTTATATGATGATTATGTTAGTAATAATGACATTTTTAGGATCAATTTATATAGATAATTAATATACGTAGAATTATATTTTACTTTATATAATTATTATGATAGTAACAATAATAATATTAATTTTTAATATTTTTAAAATTAATTTATAAAAATATTTTATATATATATAATTACGCCTTAATTCTAAAGGCTTGTAACCACGGTTGTTTTAAAATGATATCCATACATTTAAAGAAGAACATAAATTTTTTAGACCCAAATTTGTGAACCCAAGAGTACAAACCACAACATGAAGGATCTCTAACTTATACATTTTACCTAAAGTTAGATTTTACTTTTTAATGGGTGAATAAATATTAACGTGTAATGGCAACTCTATCACTTGCCTTTCAACATAAGATATTCATGAGATTTTGAATAAATAATAACATTTAATTATATATTGTTTATTAAATATTAAAAATTAATTAACATGTAGGCAAGAGTCGCCAAAATTACCATTCGTATTATTTAAAATTGTTAATAATAAAATATTTCATTTGAAATTACGTTAAAAAATTAATAACCAATCAATTACCACGAAGTATTTAATAAACAATAATTGGCGGGGCAGTCTCGACAGATGAAATTAAAAAAAAATTAAAAAAATAAATAAATAAACGGATGTAGGTGTGGCACAACGACCAACGTTAAGACTTTTTACATGTTGTGGTACACGTGACATTCATAATCCGACCAATCATGGCCGTACATTCATCATCCAACGGCCGAGCTGATCACACGTGATCAGATCCGTAAAAAAACAATTGAAAAAAAAGTCAATGAGAAGTTGAATTCAATTGAGTGATAGCATGTGAGGAGTGTAGAGGAGTATAACCCTCCTGTTCTGGGCAACCGAAAAGTAGTGAGACAGTCTGGGATTTACAGGAGAGGTGGTCCATGTGTAGGGTTTTCACTGGACAGATCATTTGTCATGCGCTTACGGAATTCTTTTTTATTTTTCTCCGCCTTCATTTTTTATTCTCACGGGCTGCCACGTCACCAACCAACATTGATCTTAACGCGTGTCAAACACCCACCCACCCACCATTTGGTGTCAAACTAATTTTTCTCCATCCTCATCATCATATTTTCTAGTCAGTTAAAAATTTTATTTGCATATCATAAATTATTTACTAATCAATAAAAATATTCCACGTAATAAATAATTTTTATAACAATAAATACTGTTTTTTTTTTTTTTTAATAAAAAAAAATTATACTCGAATATTCTTTTATGTTTCGAGCCCGTGTCACTCTCGTTGATTGCGCGTGGTCTGTTAAACATGTGGGACCCGGACCACAATAGCGAAAGTCTGGGCCCCATTAATTTAAAAGTTGCAAGATCAATTGACGTGTCAGATTGATCTAGACCGTCAATTTCAATATATATATATATATATTTTAATCGTGGGCACCATTTCCAGAGCACTTGTAGTGGGGCCCTCGTTTTATTGGGCCAGGCCCATATGGAAGTTTGATGGAGAGTGGGGTCCACATTAGTAGGACCGGGCCCGCACCACCGAGTCTCATGGCGCATGTGCTCAGTGATGTAAAGACTTTTTATCTTTTTATCCTTATTAAAAAATTAAAAATAATTGAAATGGGAATTGATGTTCACCACTTTAATTTCTTTTTTATTTTGTTTGGTTATTTTTAATTGTCCGTACAATTTACAGTAGAAAGTGGTTACATAATTTATATAATTGTTTCTAAGCTTGTGGTCCAATTATATTAAAGAAATACTATAAGATATATTTATATAATTGATGTATGATAATTTTATTTTATTTTAAAAAATTAAAAATAATAAATTTAATAAAATTAAATTTAATTTAATCATTACAATTCAATTGAAATATATATTTTTTTTAAATCTCAATCTTATCATAACTTTTGAATCATGCAAGTTGAGAAATACCATTTTTGTCTTAATTTTTTTAAATAATAATAATAATAATTTTTTAAAACTTTTTTATTTTGAATATTCTTTTATCATGTATAAAGTTGTTGAGCCAAGTTATGTATTTTGCACGAGTTGTTAGTATTGAATAAATACTGCAGAAAGTCCAAATGATAAAATTTAAATTTAAATATTAGGTACGATTGATATAAGTAAAAGTTAATAAAACTGTTTATAATATATTTATTTGATAGATTTTTTTATTTAAAATTTTATTATTAAAAAATAAAAATTTAAGTAAACACTAAAAATATAATAATTTTAATTAAAAGGAGAAATTAATAAAAATAAATAAATCATATAGTTTTAAAATAAACATATGGTACTAATTCGTTATTAGTTATTTAAATAATAATTAAAAAAAAAACCCTTTATATTAAATATTTTAAATTATTACAAATATTAATTTTTTTTTATTATTAACTAGCAAATTATAAAACGTGTGTTCGCTAGAAGGAGGGCTTGAACCTCCGACCTTGTGGTTAACAGCCACACGCTCTAACCAACTGAGCTATTCCAGCACGTCTGTTGTGTTACAATCTGTTATTTAAATGCCACGTCCCCGGTCTCAATCATTATAACCCATGATGAATTTTATCTCACAAACATATTTATTATTAATTTTGCAACACAATCAACTAAATATATAATGCCGAGAAAACACTATATATAAACAAAATTTACCAAAAATTATACTATTTTTCATATTAGAGATGTTTTTATTAAAAATTATTTACATAACATTTTTATTAATATAGAGCTTAAATATTAATCTTGTCAAATCAATTCTTAATTTTTAAAATATATGTTTTTAGTAGTTATAATGAAGTGCTCAATATCATAATTTTAATCATATCTTTAAAATATTATTTAATAAAAAAACTATTGTCGTTCCAATTTATATAAGTATTTTTAATGTAAATTCTTATTATTGTCAGACTTATTATTATTATTAATAACCTGTAATTTATCATCTTTATTTTATACTATAATTATTAATTGTTGTTATTATTATTATTATTATTTTTATCATTATTATTGTTATAATTAGTGATATAATTTTTTTTTTCATAAAATGATATATATATATACGTGTGTGTGCACATTTTTGTCCTATCCTATCTGCACTTAATCATTTAAAAACACATGTTGAAATTCTTATACATTAAGACATTACCTTATACCATTTAACTGCGAGATGTTAAATATAACGTAAAATATAGTTTGAAGCGCATCTAATCATTGTAAATAAATCATTTAGCTTGTGGTGGGCTCAGCATGTATAAGTAAAATATTGGATATTGGTTTAATATTTTAAGCTTTTAGGTCCATTACCTTTGCAGGTTTGTACAATATTCTAAACGCTGAAAATGTTTACATATTTTGTTTTCCTTTGGTTTTTATATTTTATAGTAAGTTATAGATTTAGTTTTGAAAATATAAGTAAAGATTAAACAAATTAAAATTAATCAATAACCTATAATTGTAAAAGAGAAGAAAAAATTGATTTTATTCGCCCAAGTAAAAAATGTATTGTGTATAAATTGTCTGTTCTATTCTCATTAGTCATTATTATCCTGCACAAACGCCACAATATGTAAGTTACTTCGAGTTTCATGTACAAAGCTGCAATAGACCCCCAGCAGAGCTATACATTATGGAGGGTTTCTTCTAACATGTGCAGAGTGCTCTTTCAAAAACCATATATAGTCTTGGGATGAAATGAATGAGAGTTCAAACTAGATGGTGAGATTTTCTTGGATGGCAAGGAATGATCCAACAATGTTTCCTCCGACATCAGGGAAAGTTTCGAACTTGGGAAGAGGTCTCACCTTGCCCTTTCTATCAACTTCAACTGGGTAGTTCATGAGGTGACCTCTCATCTCCGTTACTTCTTCAGCTGCAAACTGTTTCCAGTTCATGTCCCCAATCGATCTAACCTTTCTTACACATTCAAGACTCTCTGGTTGTGTAAAGCAGTCTTCAATACCTCCAGTATGCTCCGCCCATAGTGACATCCTATAGCCATGGATCTGCATAACAACATTTTTACAAATTCAACAGCAAGTCAGAAACACCGC